GGTCCCTGGTGGCCAGGGTCCACCCTACCTGCTCCCAATATTGCTCGCCTTCCTCCTACAACAGCTGAACCCATTTCAGGTGATCTAGATTTTGATGGTTTTCCTTCACCTGATCAAGGATTGCCTTCCTAGGCCTCCACTACACTATTTGCCAGCTCTATCTCAGTTTTTTTAGACATGTTTCACAGTATAATATTCCCCTTCTTCTCATGACCTTGTTTCATCAAGATCAGTTTTGTCTCTCTTTTGAGAGTGGGTACTTGCAAGCCCTGCCCTACACAGGCTTTGATTATTTTTCCTGTAGCTTACTGTCAGGCCGGTTTTCTTCTTCATTATATGTCGTTAGAATCTCTATCAATCCTATCCATTTTATCCCCTACCTAGTTTTTCAGCTTCATATTACCCTATTGACTCTCATACAGGTAATGTTTACCTTAAATCTCCTTTCTTAGCTGTTCCATTTATATTTAGGGTTTTCATGGGATACCTCCTCTTTCTTCCCTCCATGTTGTGGCATTTACCACCTTCAGTTCTTTCATACACATGTGGCTTCTTTGCTTTTGGAATCTTCTAGGGTGGGACACTACTGTTTTTTCGGGCTACTCCTGTACATTTAGTATCATGTGAGGTATATCCAATGCTATATTTTAACTTTTTGGTTGCTCTTTTGTTTCATTCTAAGACATTGTTATCTTTATTCATTTTCCATATCTCCCATCTTCCCATCCTTTACCTGTCCAACTTACAGATTTCCCCATTTATCATGTATGCTTGATGCTTATCGGAGTTATGGATCAATCGGTTCCACCTCAGTCACTTCTTGATTTATCCCTGTTAATCTTTGATCACATTTGGGTGTGATATTTCTGTAGTACTGAAATGTCCACAGTACACATTCTAATTTTCCATTTTTTTCAGAATGCTATCTTAGGTTTATTCACCATGTGATTCAGTACCAGTTTCATGCCTTGCAGTTTGAACTTTTTTTGGTTCAGTATGTCCTTTGTCAGGTGGTCTGCATTTTACCTGATTTCTGCATTTAGGTGGATTTTACTCGCATCACTACTTGGATTTTTGACTTTGGTTAGCTCCTTCTGAATGGAGATGGTCATAACATATTCATTTGCTTCTTACAGAAGCAGCTCAGATGGTTGAATTTTCCAGTTGGATAAGCTTTCCTATTACCTACCTCACAATCTTGTCTATTTGGGGAGTGTCTTTTTAAACACCTACCTCCTTTGAGACCATCCATTCTTCTCCTTGAATGCATTTAATGGATCTTTCTGTTACCCATGCCTATATGGTTAACTATCCTACTGCTAGCTAGGTTAAATGCATTGGGAAATGTGGCTACTATGGAAGCACTTTTCCCTTTAGGTTTGGCACATTTGTGATCTTTTCAGGAGATGCTGCATGAACCATGGTCTCTTGCTAGGGTTCCTTTGGATTCTCCTCGTAATTTTCCTCTTCACCTCTTCAACTATATGCATTGGTGGTTGAACATATCACCCATGTTGTCGGGTTTACCACTTCCTCCCTCTCATTTGGATTTGTTTCTCTTCCCTGATGTACATCTCCAAAGTTGGGGGGGCATGGGTCAATCAGCAGGAGGCTTCACGACAATCGTCAATGGATGAAAGGTCTTACCATGTCAACACCCTGGCACTTTCTGGCAGTCCAAAGTGTTTTAGTTCACTTTCTTCATTTTGTCAGGATTTGACTAAGCATTTTTCATTACAACTATTCAACGGTGGTGGCTTATATCATTTACCAATAAGGCACTCGTTTTGTTCCCTTTGTAGTAGACAGTGGATCTCCCATTTTGAACCCACACACTTGGCATACATCTCCTGTTGTGTCATGTTCTAGGTGCCTTTGTCCTCATTGCAGATCTCCTTCAGGTGCCAGCACACTTTCTCCTCAGAACTGACCTTTCAATCCTCAAATTTTTGGTGGCTCTGCTTCCTTTAGGGTACTCCTTTATAGAAAGTTTTTAATTTATTTCTCAATTCCAAGTTACCTCTTTTGTTTTTGGTTTCTGGTTCATCATCCACTTGCCCTGGCTGTCAATACATTTGGACAGGATTATATCCTGTTTATAACTTTATTATTTTCTCATTCCATCAATCTTCTTTCCAAGATGTTTCTTTATCCATGTCATTCTGGGTCAGAACTTTCTGATTGATCCTTCCAGGCTGGCACAGATCTGGTTTTCTTGGCTATTTTGGCTTGATATGTTCTTTTTTATTCTGGATCAATTTTATTAACCAACACTCTGCAGGCTCATGTGTTATATTTTTTTTCAATTTTTTTGTTTCTTGCCATCTTCTACTTTTATTCTCGGTTGGATCTGGATGACCTTCTCTGTCCAGTACATGCTGTGGGTTGCTTCATTGCTTTCAAGGCTTCTTTCTGTTGAATCCGTTTCCAATGGTTTCATTCCCTTACACCAATCTTCTGTCTGTGATTTTTTCTTCCCTTTCTCCTTTACCCATTGGGCTTAGATTGTGATTCAATTGGTGTTTTATTCCTTTTCTCCTTTTTTCCATCATCAATTCCTGGTATCTTCACTCCAGTCAGGCACCTTCCCTTTTCCTTGCATATCAACCCTATCATCCATTGGAGGTACTTCGTCTGTTGAGCACTGGGACTACACCTCATACATTAATCTTCCATTCTCTGCTTAGGGCAGCTGTTTCTTTCTTATCAGAGTACCGTCATCCACCTGTTACCATCCTTCACTCTTTGATGAGACTATATCTGGTTAAAATTTTCTTTCTTTTATTATTTGTGTTATTTTTCAGGGGCATGTCCCATATTTTGACCAGAATCTCACTCTGTGCGAGTGGTGTCTGTCCAGGTATACTTGAATTACTTAGAATTGTACTAAAACTCACACTGTAAGGCCATGTTGACTTCACTTTCATGGCCACAAACTGCACACTGTTCATTACAATCACATAAACTAGAGATATGGTGTTCCACTAGATCGCTATTAGATAATTTCTCACGATATATATTGGATTCACAAAAAAACTGACCATTCCAGATTGTACTAACTCATGGACGTCATGGGTGAAGCAGAAGGGGATAACTACTCATCCCTGCCATTCCTTAGGTTGAATAAATCAGTTTTAGTATGCTTTTCAGAATAGGGTTTCTTGGTCACCAATTGCGCTGTCTCCTGTGTGGATGTTCCTCTGGACTCTCCACTGAGTATTGTAAGTGTTTCTTCACTTTTTTATACTCTTGTTCCCTCCATCCGTGTTGTGGTTCACAGTTGTGGAACTTGTAGATTAGTACTGTTCTTCCAGTTACACTATCCCTTGATGATTTTCTTGCTCCAAGGATGTTATTGAGCTGGGGCTGTTCCTATCATATTGAATTTGAGTGTAATAGTTTACATTACAGAAACATCTTTACTGATTGTTCATATGTTTAATTCCTGGATCGGTCAAACAATTTATCACATTGCTATTATGTGTTCCTTTCATAGATCGAGGAAACGATATTACCTCTGATCTGCTGGGTTTTGGATTGTAGTTGACTTACTGACAGTATGATTCTCATCCTACCTCTCTCATATAACAGCTCTCCTTGATTTGTACTGTCCTCTATATGAGAAATATTTGCTTGTCACTGTCCTTTATACTCCCATCTACCCTAACATGTATGCATATGACACAGCTTCATTATAGCATGCAAATGAGCATGCAACAACCCTCCACCAACAGGAACGTGACACACCTTCCTATCAAAGCAGCTGACTCCCTCTATGTAGTAGAACCCAATCCTCACTTTTTGATTTGGCACAATATTATTAAGACGTGTTAGTTTTCGTTTGTGCTTTTGCTTTCATTCATCAACTTAGTTTTTTTTTTTCATTCTATTTATTAAGCAACTTATTTTACACTGTGATAAACTCATAGTACTTTCTTAGTTTGGAACTTCTCTCCAGTTGAACAGGAAGTCTGTATTTTATTTTACTTTAATCTGCTGTGTCTCAGGCTACAGACCTTTCAATTTTGGCTGCAGAGGTCACGTTTTTTTTGCCAGGAATTGGGGTTCACCCTGCAGATGGCTGTTTCTTCTTAACCCAGACCTGACATATCTTTGTCTGGGGATTCTAGGTAAGATTAAGATGACTTAGATATCTTTTTCTACCTTTTTCTTCTTTGGTTGTGCAATTCCAAGTTTCTGCTTGTGGATGTCCCCAGGCAGTCCTTAGTCTTTTTATATATGGGAACACAGGTATGTTACCTTTTTATTTGTATCCCTCCTAATTTAAGCTGTCTTCTCAACATCTGTTGACCATAAGTTTCTGGTTCAAAGGGGGGGCATGGTGCCTTGGCCCTCTTGTGTTCAAGATAATTTTTTTTTCATATTTTCATTATGTTTTTTTCATATTTAGCCTCCCAACAGTTAGTGTCTTTTCTACATGACAAGGGTCTGACCCTTCTTTTATTAGCATCTTGGTGCAATTGATGCATAATGTCTTGGTCCCTGTATTTAAGACTTGGCTTGGCTTTGTGCCAGTAGGCAGTTGACTTGGAGTAAGCAACATCATAACAAGCTTTTACAGATCAAACCTTGTGTTGTTCTTTGGCTATCTTGTTTCTTTAAAGATTGGAAAAAGGAAGTTGTCCCAGCTAGGCTGTGCATTAGTCACAGTTTTTTAACTCATTTTTTTCCTTCATCAGGGACTGATCCACCAATGTGTGGCCTTTGTGAAACTCAAGTCACAATAGCCCACAATTTACTGTCATCCCTTCGTTATGACTCTGTGTGACGGCACCATTTTAGACATGTTTTCTAAGGGTTTAGCTCTGACATTGGATGGTGTCATTGGTGATAGTGACACTGTCCAACTTGATTGTATTTTTATGAGCCATTGGTCTTTTTAATTCTATTTAAATCTTTTATCTGAATTTTGGACATTGTTTAGTTTTAACTCGATTCATTTTTACATTTTATAAAAATTTGACTTTTACAGCTTGTACCGGTTGTTTGGCATTGTTAGCCTAGTTGCTTTGTGCCAAAAAACACCAAACAAACAAACAACTAATCATATTGGTAAAGTTATGACATTATATGATGGCTATGTAAAGTTCATTTCTGTAGTTTGATTATATTTATTACAGATTTTAAAAGCTTTTAGAAATTGTGAGTTTTTACTATTAAACATTTTTTTATCAGCTCATTGGTTCCTTACAAATTACTTTATTAGGTTAGGTTCATTTATACATTCATTTATACTTCTTGTTCAAGAAGTGGTTATATGTAAAGTAAAAAGTTCTACACCTTAGAATAGTGAATTAATCCCTCTTTTATAGCTGGTATTTTATTTACTATTTGATTAGTATAAATCTTTTTGCTTTTCTATAGTTTATACAGTATTTACTTTAATAACAGTATGTTTAATTTATCAACAAAATGAGGAATAACATTATGTGTTTCTTTATCAAAAATAATGTTTTGGTTATTTTTATGTTGTTAATACTTGTTTTGTTATTCCCTTATTTCAGAATTTAATAACTGTACCTTTATGGAATGTGAAAACAATAAAGTGTGTGTGTCTGGAGCATGTGAAGGTACGTTTTGTATTCATTTAGTGTTATATCTTTCAAAGATCTGAAAATTTATTAGATATTTTAGGACTGTTACCTGTGGCCAAATAAGTTTAATGTTGTGGTGTACTCAGGTTAAATGGATCTTATTAGAGCAATAAAATAGGTTTGCTGAATAACAAGAGATTTGACAAGATATTTATTAAATAGAGGGGTACTGAATTTCTCTAAATAAATGAGTTTGTGAGAATGAAATAAAAAGACTGGGCACGATGTAAACATAATGAAAAATTTTTATTATATGACAAACACCGTGTGTGTGTGCATACATGGTTAATAAAGGACAGTTGCCTTCAAAGGAGCAAAGTTAACTTCTTTCCCACTGACTTAGCTGAGATCTTGTTCCAGATTGAGTATGCTGGAATGGACTGCAACTGCCTGTTATTAAAATTACAAGTGTAAAGGACGACATTTTGAAAGTCTTTCGTCTTCAGACGTTTCAAAAGACAGAAGGTTTTTGAAATGTCATCCTCTACATTTGTGTTATTTACAATGTGTAGTTGCTGTCCATTCCAGTGTACTTATCATGAATATTCTGCCTAAACAGTCTACCAAAGAATGTAATAGATTGTTTAAATTGAAGGTTCCTTACTTAAAAATTAATTTCAAGTTTACCTATAATGACTAGCTCTACTTATGTGACTTATAATTATCATTCAAGCATAAGATATCACCCAGCCTACCATTGGAAAATGCTGATGTCGACATATGTGCATGAGGTTTAGCATTACGATCGTACCTGCCACTAACAAATTGGGTGTCAACTCCTGAGAATGATAAATACAGTTACAATAAGATCAGTTTAATGGTTTTCTTGATCATGAATTATGTGAAAACTGCATGTACACAGAATAACTAATAATTTTTGTATAATACTATATTAAAATAAGAAGGTAGAAGATGCATGGTATGTATATACCACACCATCCTGGTGAGGGGTAATCACCTCATTATGATAAAATTTTCTGGTTATTAATTATGTAAAATGATGGAAATACGTATTGTTTGCATTAGGTAATAGGTATATGACGTATTTCACAGTATGTTTTAGGTGTTGATCTTCTTTTCCAACATTTGATAAATATTAAAGTTTATGTAAAATGTCTAAGTTGACAAGTATTGAGACTTTTTTAAGTTGTAAGAAAAGTGATATAATCATGCTTGAATGGACTTTCCTCACTTCTGTTCATTGAGTCCCTGTAGATTTCTCATCAAAGGCATAGAAAAACAGTATTTCAGATGCATTCTTTTGTTTTTCTTCTGTAATTAACAGTCCATGAATCCTTTCATACAACAGTGCAATTCAGCAACTTGTCTGGATCTTTGTCATTCACTGCTCTGGTAACTAAGGCTTCTAACATTTTCCCTTTTACTTCACTTGTTTTCTGCATATTCTCAGGTGAGGTTTTTGCATGCACTTATATTTATCCCCTTTTCCTCCCTGACCTGTATATTGTATTTTTGCAGATTCTTTCATACTACACTCCATGTTGGTTTGTTTCCACATCCTCCCTGAACTTAAAAGTCTTTCTCTATGGTCTGTGGTTGGATTACATCCTCTTTCTCAGTGCTTCTATACCTTTAATCTCTTTTCCAAACTTGGAAGTTTTCTTCTTCTTATACTTTGACTCTCTCTTTTACACTAAATTTTCACTTCTTAGTCTTTTGCTTGCATAACTGTTAGTGCATCATTTCTTTTACCCTTTTCTTCTGAGGTTCTGCATTATTACCCCAACAACTATAGCCCAGCTCACTTTGCTTCTGTGATTTATTTTATTAGGATGCTCTGTTTTCTGGATAGACTTCCTCTGCTTTGTGTCAGGGAATCTGCTGTAATCCACTTTCTTCTCGTTTTTTTACTTCCATTTTCTTTTTCTCATTTACTGTTTTGATGGCTTAGAAGTTTCCACATGCTCTAAACATCCATCTTTCTTTGCCTTTTCTGATACTTACATTATTCACAGATGCCTCTAGCTGGGTGGGGTGCAGTTCTTAATACCATCACCCTTTTGGTGTTTGGTCTTCTGTGTCCTTCACATATAGACAGTTCAATAGACATGCAACCATATATTATTACAACTGTCTGGACATCCTGTTTCATCTATTTCAACAATTCCTTTATTGTTCCTTCCATTACAACTCTGCTTTTTGTTATTGAGCTCCACTTTTGAGTTCATGACAATAACATCTCATTGTTGGCTTTCATTGTTCTACACCAATCTTCCACCTTTTTTTATCATTATTCCCAAACTCCATAGCTCTGGTGCTATTCCCTTTGAGATTGGTCTACCCTCTTTCAATATACTTATTGTTCTCTTCAACTTCTTCCCAGAGTGCTGTCTTTAACTCACAACACCCCTTTACAAATGTCTTTTCATTGTCTCTCCTTTGCCAGATCAATTATAATTTATGTTCCTTCACCTCTTTCTTCTCTGTACAATCATTCCAACCCTGATCATCTCCTTTGTTCTGTTAGAGTAGTTCGTGTTTTGTCACTCATACTGATTTATCTTGAGATAGACAACATCATTTTTGCTTGTCCTGGAATTATTTTTCTTCTCATGATATATTTCCTTCCTCTTTGACCAGCTCGATTAAATAACTCATTCAACTTATTTTTCTATGGGAGGTGACACCTTTCATCTTTTTCATGTCACCTTCCATGTGCATCAGACTCTCTATCATTCCACATTTGTCCTGCTTTACCTCAATAGGTCTTTTCTTCTCAAAACTCTGGCAGCCAGGAGAAAGATCCTTCTCACCAATCCATTTGCCAGCCATTTCTCACCTTTATGACTGCTCCGATCCTAATCGTTTGTTATGGCCTGTTAGGCCTCTCAAGTGTTATGTGGCTCATACTAACTTCTTTGAGGTAGTAGGAATCGATTGTTCATTAATTGGAATCCTTCTATTTCCCATGATTTACCTCCCGTTACCCTAACGAGATAGTAAATTGATTCACATGGCCTATAATATATTATAGGAGAAGAATTTTTTTGCACATCACATCTCACTAGATTCGTCATATCTCTACGTCATTAGCCGCCTGCTTGAATTACCCTCTGGAAGACATTGTGGGCTGGTATGTGGACTACTCCTAATACTTTCCTATCTCATTACTTAAATAACTTGGCAGTTTCCTTTTCTGAGGGTTTTCAACTACCCCCTGTAGAATTTTGACCACATCTGTTAGATTTTAACCAGAGGGGAGTATTTTCTTCAATCATATACTCTTTTATTTCCAGGGTCCCGTTATTTTTCACTGGATCCCACTCTGTGGCGAGTGTTTCCTAGGCAGGTATGCTTTCTCATTTCAATTTCACACAAGAAACCACTTTCACTATAATTACTATAGGTTGCAACAGGCTCTGTTGAAAT